ATTATAGCCCCTGTGTTTGTGTCCTTGTCCTGCAGGCAACTCTCTCGACTGTGTGTGCCTGTGTTCTTTCTGTTCTCCCACTTTGTTTTCCTTTTTCTCTAGCTCTAACTACACTCTACACAGACATGTGAAAATTTAAGGTGTGACTCTCTGAGTGTTAAATTACAAGGGAAGCACAGAATCAGATTTGCATAGGTATTGCAATCTTTGTGCAGGTGTAATAACTTGAGAATTCAGTGAAATCTTGTTCCTTACCCAAGAATAAAAGCTATTGTACACCGCATGCAATGAACTCTCTTGAGTTTGCTTTGTAGACTAAGAGGTTTGTTTTGTTTAATTCACTTCCCCTTGGAGGCTCCAGAAGACTTTCTGTATCTCTTTTCTGTGTGTGCCCTTTAGACAGAATTAAGTTTATTTGTATGGAAAGCCTACATCTACAGGAACTAACTGGTTACCTTACTCTGGATTACAAAAAAAAAAAATCACTTAGTGAATAAGCACAAACAGGCAGTGACTGAAGGAAAAAGTAGCCAAGGAAGATGTGGGCAACTTCTGATTTTGGGAGAATTACTGCCGAAGGGGATGCAGAACTGCCATCTTCCCTCTCCCCCAAGGGAATATGTGGCAGCGTGGGGTTACAAGCACAGGCTTGCCCCTGCAGATCCTCACTGTAATCTTGGTGGGGCTTACTGGAAAGGGGATTCTGCTATTCTGTAAGAGAATATGTCAACAAAATGCTAGGTGACTAAACTCAGGTATGTAGAGATCTGTCTGGGCACGCTAACAGCAAGAATCATGTGGACATCACTTTGTGTGTCAGCCAGGCTGTAATTTGAGACTGAAGGCAACCATCTTATCTGTACTGGGGAAATGACCATATTATTCCATTTGTATAATACTAGGCTTTCAGGTATGGCTTCTTCATTATCTTCATCAGGTTTATTAATACCATTAACCTCACAGTAATCATTGCAAGCCGAGCTAACCAAACAGCGGATTTACTCACTCAAGATGGAAGAGGAAAGGACTCCACATACAAGGCAGAGGAGAATGTACCCACAGATGAAGAAAACAGAAAACTTGCCAGTGCTCTCCACTTTGGCAGTGAAGAGGTTAGTGTAGCTTGGCATGGCCCTTCACAGTAAGATTATTCCTGAGAGGCACAATCTAGATACTAAGAACAGCCTTTGACCAAATGTGAAAGTTTTAGCCATAGTGTTACTAGAGGAAAGTGACATTTAACAGGAAAGTTTCATGATAATGAAATTCGGAAAATACCTGTAACTATGCCACCCTTAACAATGAGAAAGAAGAAAGGGACTAGGGGAAGTCAGAAAATGTAGCCACAGGTGACCAAAAGTAAGATCAGAATTCACGAAGCTGTAAAATCAAATACACTTAAAGACACATTGATAATATTTCTGGAGACTCTCAATGGGTAGTTGAATGCAGATGTAAATGTAAATGAAGTGGATTTTATGCTTCAGCATTATTTTGACTAATGGTATAGCCCAAGAGTGATGCTAATGGTTCAGTAGAATTACCTGGTTTTCTTTCCTTATATTGCCCAGTTCTTTGATTATTTTTGTGTGTTTGATTTTCATTTGTTGCATATCTTCTACAATCTGAAGAAGATGAAGGAAATGATAAAATCAGAGCACTAGCAACTAACTTCAATTATAATGCATCATCAAATAATAATGATAATGTATGTTTCTCAAAATGCTAATGACAAATATGATACTCTTCACTGCGTTTGATCTTGAAAACAGAAAAATAGCCAACAGGATTGCAGTCCAAAACCTTCAGGTTTCAGCAGTTAAAACTTATTTTATATTACTAAGTATAAATATGTAAGTTTATTGGCTTGACATGGATTTTCTTTTCTGGTCTTAGGATTGTACCTCTACACCTTTCTTGCTACTGTAGTAATCTGAATTCAGCACAGAAAAGATAATAATTATTCCAAAGTTCTTAGAAAAGAGAGAGACAGCATTGTGAGACTTATTACTGGGAAAAAAAGTAAAAAAAGACAGTGGACAGTGGAGAAGACAGCATTTAAGAGTTAGATAATGCAACTCATTACAATAGACTTCACTCTTAGTTTTATTTTGTATGCCATTACAAATAACTTGAAAAACTACAAAATTAACTTTAAGGTTCATCACAGGCATTTTTCATGGCCAATAAAAACAGATGTATACATAAAAGATTAATAAAGTGACCTTCTTTTTCCCCTTAGAAAATGAGTCACTTAAGATTGCATCAAGATCCTTAGTGACTCAGGTTTATCCATTTTGTTCCAGAT